CTGCCATATTAATTTCTGGTGCTGATGCTATTTGAGACAATTGTTGTTTTTGTACAACAATGTTTGTATTTTGCCTATTGGCTGACGTACTTACATTTGTACGCTTAAATGTATGTAGATTTGTGTATGCGTTACTTATTTTGCGCGGTCATACGCATATTTGTACATACATACTTACATATAGAGCAGTGCGCTCACATGTTTTTATTGATAATTGATAATATATTATTACAAGTATATTATATAATTAATATAACATATTGATGTACATATGTACATACATAAATTATTAATTCTGTAACTGAAATTAGAAAATTATGAAAATAGTAAAATATCATTTCTTGCGTAATCTTTCACATTTTATCAATGTAGCAGTTGTGCAAAAAAATCATATTTTATCAATTTTTCATCATAAAAATCGTTAATATGGCAAAAAATAATCATGCATATGTGAAGTGGCATTTGTATTTTTTGTTTTCTCATTCATTTCATTCTGGTTATACCAGAGAACTTTTAAGTTCTCTAATTCAAGAATTGGGTTAAAAAAAGTGCATGCATTGAGGAGAGAAATTCGACTATTGGTATTCAGGGATGTTGTGGAAACTTATAGTTGTCGGAATCAGAATTGAAACCGATAAAAAAATGTAGTAGGTGTCATAAATTCATATATTATTGGTTTGACCTTCGAAACAGAAATTTTATCGGTTTTGGGTGTCACGGAAACCAATTTTATCGGTTTTGTTATGAAAAACAAAGCAAGATGATATTCGCTAAGAATGACATATGAATAAAACACAAAAGGTCATTATTATTTTGGAATAATTATTGGAAAAAATCCGAATATTTTAAAAGGATTTACAAAACGTAATAAACGTAATTTTACACCCAAATGGGTCTTTATTGAATCGATAATGTGATATAAATCTGAAAAGTAAGCATGTATACAAGCATACAAGTAAATACAAGCCAAATTTCACATGCGATTCCACTAGTGCATCAAGTGGATTACTGTGATCTTTTAATATTTTCGTTGCTTTTTTGTCTACATTACTGCAGGGTTAGGGGTTGTGGGTTGTAGAGGAGGACACATTGCATTTGGAGTCTGATTTACGCAAAACATTGTATGACCAAAAACAAAGCAGTTTTTACAATACATTGGCGATGGGTTATATAGCTCAATCTTAACTTTAAGCCATGCACTGTTATCTTCTTTAGTTCGTAGGCACTAAAAGAAATACTTAGCGTGAAGAGGAGTGTTAACAAGTTTACCGTCAATTATTTCACTTTCCGTTAATATCGCGCCACAGCTTGCGTATACTCCTTTGACAGTGTTTAGTGTTGGGTGTAAATTAACAGATACCTCAGATAGGTTTGATAGTTTCGTTGCTTTTAGGAAATTGGTGGTTTGCTGGTTGCTTTTAGTAAGAATGAGAATGTCACCGTCTCTGGTAAATGAGACAGAACTGAAGGGATCGTATTTTATCGATTCAAGAGCTTGTTGTATGATTTTCATGGTTTTTTGGGGGCCTTTGTGAAGTAATTTTGATCTCTACCTCCAGCATCGGTAGGATTACTTAATAATAATTTTAGGTTAATTTCCCTTTAATAACTTAATTTATGCCTGCACACTGATGATAAGTTTTATTTCTTGACGGAAAGTCACTATCTTTCTAAAATGATGACAACAACACTATCGTTGAGAGCGAAGCAAATGAAGAAAAGAAGGAGAAGTTATAAGCGCGTTTCGTTATTATTAATCGGTTACGGGACCGCGGGACAGCACCTGTACTGGGGCCGATTGCACCGGTAACGCCAAAGCCTACTGAGACCTGGTCGGTTGTGGTCAGGAGTAAGGGGCCTGCAACTTCTTCTAAGGAAGTTATTAAGAAAGTCGTCAAGGAGGTGGGTCCTTCACTTGGTATAAGGATCCACGAGGTTAGGCCTATTAAGGGTGGTGGGGCGGTTATCCGCACTCGTTCTGTTTAAGAGAGGGAGAAATTGGCGACTACGCCAAATTCGGGGAGGTGGGGTTGGACGTGGGTCCTCGGGTTGTAGTTTAGGGGGTTCATTTCAGCCCGGCGTCACAGAGGTCTGACGTAAGGCTGATTAGTCGTCCCTGGAAGGTGGCCCCTGATGGTAGCACCAATGTTGTCCTAGAGGGTACGGACAAATGATGTCCGCCCTCTTGGAGGCAGGTAGGTGCTATATTAAGTGGATCTCCTTCCGGGTGCGACCGGATAACCTCGTTGCTGGCTGCTTCTGGTGTATGGATTTTGATCACAGAGTAGCTGAGTGTAGGGCCAAATCAGATGTCAGTCGGTGGTGAAGTCAACAAGGACACAGAGCTGCCGGTTGCGTCAATGCACCCCATTACCGCAACTGCGCATTTAAGGGTAGACCAGCTGGACATCTGATGATGTCGCCAGACACTAATTGGGGGAGTTATACAGTTAAACTGCCAGGGGGCGTATGCCGTAATGTGTGAGTTGGGGGATGTATGGCTGAGGGGAGTTGCAGCATTGCCTTACTTCAGGAGCCCTACGCCACCAATGATGTGGTTCGAAGTCTTCCTGGGACTTTCAAGGTCGTCACGGACCTTGGGGCTAATGCTGCAATTGTTGTGAGTGATCTCAACTACGTGACGTATTAAACGCAGTTTGTACTGCTAATTTAGCAGCCCCTAGAGCCCTACTTAGGCTACATGGATAAGCTACTTCTAGTTGCGAGTAGTAGCCCATTTTTCCTAGGGCTAGATGCGAATGCCTCGTGATCGATGTGGTTTAGTAAGATATCCCGGCATACGTCTGAATATCAAAGCCACAGTCGAGGCAAGGCATTAAGTGAACGGATGGTGGCTAAAAACCTCTACATTGCAAATGAGCCGAGTGAATGGTACACGTATGATGGGCCTAGATGCGTGAGTGACATTGACATGAAGCTTATGAATCCGGCAGCAGATAGGGCGTTCGTAGCTAGATGTGAGGTTAAGGGAGGGTGGGGATTGAGTGATCATAATTTGATCCAGTGTGTGAAAGTTTGATGTTTAGTTCAAAACTGTCAGGCGATCGAGGCGAAAGTTTCAACGCGCTCGACGGTCCAATTCTGACAGGCTGTCCCAGCTTAGGTATGAATTTAGTTGTTCGATTAGGGAGTCTATTGAAATGTTGGTCAAAATTAAAGAACAGACGTGGAGGAATTTTGTGGGTGAGAATAGGAACGACCCGTGGGGTCAGATCTATAGGATCTTCCGGGGTCGTAAGAGGGGGAACATCACCTCTCTTCGCGTTGGTGACACTATGTTATCAACGCGGAAATAGTCTGCGGAGGTTGTGGTACCTCAAGCAGAAGAGGTAACTGTCCCTACATTAGATGATGGTTAGTTGGGGTATGCATTTGGCCTGGTCTGGTCTAAACGGTCCCCAGGTTTTGATGGTTTGAACGGAGAGATCTTTAAAAGCTTGTGGAAGTTCATTCCGGAAAACTTGGAGGCCATTTATGACAAGTACGTGTGGCAGAGTTATTTTTCGCGCGAGTGGAAATTTTCTAGGGTTGTTCCTCTCCTGAAGTCCCCTGATAAGATCAGGAACGATCCTCGTTCTTATCGGGGCATAAGTCGCCTTCCAGTACTTGGAAAAGTATAGACTCTCTGCTTGGGCAGCTCGAGCCCCTCTGCAAATGTTGTGCGTATGCGAACGACTTTCTCCTTCTGGTTGAAGGTCGATCGCGATTAGAGTTAAAGCGTACGGGAGGACAATTTTTAGAAATTGTAAATAGTTGGGGCTTAGGTTTGGGGGTTGACATATCGATGGATAAAACGGTGACAATGCTGCTTAAAGGCAAATTTAGCGATTTAAAGGCATTGTCACCGTTTTGTCCACCGATTATACGGGTGAATGTAGTCAGCATCAGGTATGTGACGCAAGTCACCATCATATATCGGGGTTTACTTGTGGCTTGTATCACTTATAGAGCCGCAATATGGTGGGTATTAGCGATAACGGTCTTGGGTCGCCGAAAACTCCTCTCGGTGCAACATTGCATGATGCTTGCATGTTTGCTTGTATGTCGCACCGTTTTAACGGATGCGATGCAAGTTTTATTAGGTGCACCCCTTCTTGACCTGATTGACATACAGCGAGCTGTTGCATTCAGGTTAAAATGGGGCTTGAGTGTCATTGTTGCGGAATGACTGGATTTCAGATGATGACGTGGAGAGGGAGGGATATCTAGGGCACACTAGGCTTAACTGGTAGTAACTTCGACTACGAGGTCATTGGTTGATAACCAAATGCGGGAAAATTTGACGTTTTGTCAGTTGAATGTGGAGTTGCATTGCAACCGGGTGCCAGACCTAAAGTCGGGCAGAGGTTTAAGACAGGCCTCGAACCCTACCAAGGTGGTTAGTGTGTCCATTCCACACTACCAATCGGTACTGAAAAATACTTGGCATTTTCAGGGCGATGTTCAACGCATTGATTTGATCCGCTGTACTTTTGAGCGCCATGGTGTAAGGCTGTCGTCAACAGGTACCCACGTTAAACACACTGGACGTTGACCTTTGAGATACGCGTGCTGCCTGAATACCCACCGACTGGGGAGAATTCTTTGTTTTATGAGATCGTCGCTATACTTTTTAGTAGAAAGTAGTATGTAACCGTCTTTAAGATTTCGGCAGTAATAGTCATAACTATGACACTAATTTTAACAGCAAATATAGTTATGGCTGGCAGCAACTTTTTGGTTTGACACCTTTTCATTATTTTTCATGAAGGGAGAAATGACAGCAGGAAAAAGTATTTCAAAATTAAATAAAAAAAGGTATATTCAAGGTAGTATTTATGTTTTATTTAACAAATTAGTGATTAACCTGAGGATGAACTGATTAGAAAGTTCGTTGGTATTTACAATATTTTCTGTAAGGTTGTAAAACAATTATTAATTCAAAATTTCAATAATATATACTTTATTGAAATTTATACACATTTAAATAAAAAAGTGAATCCCATGACAAAAATGCAATTGTTTATTCAAATTGATATCATTCATACATCAACATATTTGCACATTAACACCAATGACTACATAAAAACTAAAAAAAAATTGAATTCAAGAGGAAAAGATTGAACAAATACCTCTTACATAATACCTTATAATCTAATAAAAATAGTCGTAGAATTTAAAACTCAATGTGTTGTGTTCCAATTTACTTTTAAATTATATTTCTTATAGTTACACATTTTTGTTGTTATTCATATAACCCTTGAAGGCAAAAGTTTGAACGTCGCTTGCTTAAGACGCTTTTATTTCTTAAGGTACTTTTTTGTAAAATATATAAACATATGTATGTATGTCTTTTTATATTAGTGGAACATAATTTGGAAACAAAAGGCTGATGCACTAGAAAATAGTAAGCTTATTGTGTTGCGGATGGTTGCTCCGGTTGTTGTTGCGGCGCTAAACGACTCACAAAAGCGATACCACTATGTATGATCTTACCAACAACCGCAGGTGATGAGGCGGCTAAAGCCTCGGCTTTAACGCGAAGTTCCGCAAAAGCGTTCCGGGTATAAGGATTACGTCTGGAACTATAACGCATAACCAAGAAATGATAGTAAACTATCGGAGTCATTAATCCTGCTTTTCCTCTGAAATAGATAAGAAATAATGCTAATTATTAAAAATGATTTTCACTGCATTCATACTAAAAAAGTTTTTATATGAGTTATTCACTTTTGATGTTGATGAGCAATTTAATTTCAAACTAGCTTAAAAATGTTGTACAATATTTAACGGATGCAAAGCCTCCCATGCAAGGTTGGGCAGATGCTTTATATCTGCTGTAAGAGCGTTAGGGGTCCTATAACCAATACGACGTTTGTTTTCGAACCGCAAACAGCTGCTGGATTTCAGGAAGAAGAAGAATGCGAAAATAGACAAGAAAGCTCTCTTTGAATCAAAACAAATCCAATCGACTGATTTTGACATAATGAATTACTTTTGACAAATTGTTGTTTTTTGGCTATCGACAAAACCTTATTTAATTAAATCATGGTTATCATTGAGGCAAAGCAAAATGTGGGGCAACTCTCATCTTTTTACGGTTTGCCAAGCAACAGTTGCCATTTTTATTAGAGATAAACACGAAAAGCAAAAAAAAAATTCGCTGGCATACCCTTTACTTTACTTCGTTGTTAAGTATGAATTGTTGGCCGTAAGCAGGGTTAGGCAGAGACTTAGTATATGCTAAAATAGCGTCAGTGGTCGTATACATACACACACGGATTGTCACTAACACGAACAAACGAAGAGTGATAAACGAGAGTGACGATGGGACAAAGCGACAATAAAAAAACACTCTGCAACGTTGTACATGCAAACCAGTAACAAAAAAATCATATAATACCTATATCATCAAAATTTTGCCACAGCTGATTTCATTGCAATCTTCGTTTTGGTCTTTGCCCGGTAATAGTACTCTTAAAATTAAATCTGGGTAGCAGATTTTGCTATCGAACGTATTCACTCATATCTAGAAAATACGCCCTTAACCATTAAATAAATAACATACTTCTTAAACGTTAACAAATAAATATATTTATACTAGAAAACGAGAGTTACGTTCATATACTCTAAACATATAGTAATCATATACATACATATATATATATATAATGCATATCATACTAACATACAAAAATAGAATTTGGGTTCCAAATTCTGTTGAGTTGTGGAATAAGAGAATGAGCGAATTCCTGGTATGTAAAAGCCAACTCTACTAAAAGCATAAATTATAAGCAAGCTAACAAAGAATGTTAACACAGTTAGTCTTAATGTAATAATGTAAGACCAAACTAACAAAGAATGTTAGTACAGTTAGCCTTACGATTAGGAGGAAGAAAACTTAAAGCAATGTTAATCAGTCTTAAGATCCGATTAAAAAAATTAACAAGTAAAAACTAATAAGCAAGCAATAAGAGGATTTCAACACCGTTTCTGGCGCAGTCAATGGAACTTAAAGCGAACTCTGAGAAAAATTAAAGAACTATTTATTATATTTTCGAACATAAAACAAAAAAAAACAGTAACTAAGCGGGAAAGAGTTTATTTACGAAAAATAGATATTGTTCGGGTCTCCGACGTTTCACTCTGGGTGTTACAAACTTCGTGGCAAACTTAACATACCATGTGCGGGGTAAAAAAAATAGTGAAAAAAGTCGAAAACAGTGACAAAATTACGATTATTGTAGTGAATAAAAAAGTAATAAAAATTTAATGAAACTATTTGCGTACAGTGTGTTAAAAAAAACATTTTCGTTTTCCAAAATTGGAAAAAATTTTAAAAACATCGGTAAATTTAATCGACTTTAACAGTCGACAAAAGTGATTCGACACAAACAGAAACATAATGGATTCAGCGGAGCTTGCCAACATCAAAAAAAGCGGGAGGAGGTGATTAGTAACATGCAGCAGCTCCAGGTACAGGTGTACCAACAAGAACAGATACACAGCCAATAGCTACACAACCAGCAGTCGCAACAGATCGTTCTTAGTGACGATAAAGTTATAAGTTACTTTCACTTATAACTCCTCACTTAAAGCAATTCGTCGGGTCGAAAGATGACAATTTACTCGCCTTCATCCTACTCTCAAATCTTCAATCGATGCAGAAATATTAGGGTTAGTAATTTAAGAGAACTTTTCGATTTCTTTTTTTATTCTAGTTATAAGCTTAATGAGCTATGCGATTTTGATTAGGCAAAACACTCAGTATACCTATACTTGTAAGTATGCCTACAAATATAAATAGAGATCTTACGGATATTCTAATAGAACAAATTTACGGAAGTTATTGTACTCATTTGGACGAACCTACCTTACTCCAAATGTATAATAGATTTTTAAAATATAGGCTGTTAGATGAGAAAAGAGCTATTTCATACAATCACAGGAGAATATATAATCAAAAGACGTTCGAAACTAGTACAGCGTGGGCCCTTTTAACCGTCGTACTTGTTTGAAGCTTCGTTAGGCTGAGCCAAGTAAGTTTTAACATTTTTCCCGTTACACATTTCTATTGTCACATATATTTTGAATATACGCAACATAATTTTAAGTTTCATCAATTGGTATGCAGGTTTTGTGAGCAATGGAATCAAAAAGAGAGCTGGCGAAATCAATCATCAACACAATCTCATGTTTTCTAAAAAAAATAAATACAGCCTTTTTAGGTCATTTATTAACACCTGAAGGGATAAAACCAAACCCAAATAAGGTTGAAGCCATACAAAAATTAAAGTTACCCACTTCACAAAAACAAATAAAATCTTTCTTAGCTATCACAGGCTTCTATAGAAAGTTCATAAAAGACTATTCTAAAATCTCTTACCCGATGATTGTATATCTAAAAAAAAAAGATGCAAATATTAACGTTAATAACCCAAGTTATATAATTGCGTTCGAAAGATTAAAATATATAATTGCGATCCTTACGTTTTAAGATATCCTGTTTTTACCAAAGGTTTAAATTATTAACCGACATTAGTAACTTTGTTATATTTTCACACAAGATAAGCATTCAATTTCATACGCTTCGAGAACATTAAACAAACAAAAAAAAAACTACTCAACTATCGAAAAAGAGTTATTAGCCATAGTGTGGGCAGTAAAATATTATAAATATTATTTATACGGAAGAGAGTTCGATCTAAAATCAGATCATCAACCGCTTAAGTGGTTGCAGAAGAAAAATTGTGGTAAGGATATATATCTCAGGCTACAGCGTTGGTTAGTACCATTGGGGGAGTATGATGTAATAATTGATTATATAATTGATAAAGCCAACAAAATAGCCAATTTCGTAAGTCGAGTTGGTAGTAACGAGATAAATATGGTTAATTCCAAAAATTTGGGACGATACTAAACGAAATGCTAAATATTAAAGGGTATATACTCATATATATTCAACAAATTCTTTAAAGTTCTTACGAAAAAAATCAAATTATTTCTTTTGTAAAGTATAGTCATTTTCCCAAAGATATCAAAGAAGAATATGAACAAAAAATGAAGATGCGTTCTTCAATAAAATTAAAGTAGGACGTTTAGGAATTTTCCGAACTTAGGAGGGATTAAAACATAGTATGTATCACCCACAGCTAAAAATTAAAATACATGATATAATAAATAACTGCGAAATCTGCAACAAAGGAAAATATGATATGATATTAAAGGAACTATTGATCCGATTCAACTCATTTTTTACAAAAACATACTACTACAAGGTGCGTTCCAAAGTAAACAGGACTTTTAAAAAAATACAGAACAAATGGTTTTATCGGCAAAATCAATTAATTTTATTCAAAATAGTCTCCTTCTGCTTTAATACAGCTTTTTGCACGGTCCAAAAACATGTCGAACGAATGTTTTAGCTCGTTGCCCGGTATGGCCGCCAGTATGCCGGTGCAAGCCTTTTGAATGGCCTCCACGTCTGCATAACGCTTTCCTTTCATCGGCAAATGCATTTTTCCGAAAAGGTAGAAGTCGCACGGTGCCATATCACCATTCACAATCTTGTAAAGGAAGTTCGAGTCTTTTTTCGCCTCTTTAATGATGTTCTTTGAATGTTGAATTCTGAGCAATTCGCACTACAGCATAGAAATATTAGAAGAATGTTATGTGCCGAATTTGGTTCGAGCAGATCCTAAAATATGGGTTTCACCTAAAAGAGGGCGGTGCCACTACCACTATCTAATTTTGAACGCAGTTCCTATAAAGTCATCTCATACCATCCAAGAGATAAAATTTAATGTCTCTGGTGTGTTTAGTGCGTGATTTATCGCGCTTTTAGTAGTTTTTAACAGTACCGTTATATGGGAAGTGGGCGGGGTTGTCACCTGATTTCATTAAAAACATTTGTTCTCAGTGAATTTTGTTATAGCTTTAGCAGTTTAGGAGATATGCACATTAAACCACGGTAAGACCACGCCCACTTTACAAAAAAAATTTAACTGCAGATGCCCCTCCCTAATCACAGTTTTGTATCTTATTGTGGGGCTTAGTTATGGCAATTTATTTATTTTTGATTAATGGCGTTTTGTGGGCGTGGCAGTGGTACCAACCGTCTTACGGTATCAAGAAACATATGTACCAAATTTCATAAAGATATCTAAATTTTTACTCAAGTTACAGCTTGCGCAGACGGACGGACTGATTTCAACTCGTCTCTTCGTTCTGATCATTTATGTATAACCCTATATCTAACTTCATTAATTTTAGGTGATACAAACAACCGTTAGGTGAACAACTTTTATACTCTGTAGCAACATGTTGCAAGATGATTAGAAGAAGCTTGATGATTATTTCTAAACATAACACAAAAGGGAAGCCTATTTAGAAACCGGAGGTGAAGATTTTATTAAGAATTATAGAAGTGTAAGGCATAAAGAAGAGCTAAAATTTATCAAAAGAAATTTGAAAAATATTTATATATCAAATATTAAACGTCCTTTAAAATTTGAAAACGAATTTGAAAGGAAAAAAACAATTACCACGGAATTAAACTTATTAATGCAAAATATAAAATCCATTACTCCAAATAAATTTCATAAAAGTAAAAAAAGGCAAATTTGGCTTGATAAATGACCACAAT